GACCCGAGGGCTCCAGAGGTGGCCGTGCCGGGGTAGGGCTCGGCGTCGGCGTCGGCGTCGGCGTCGGCATCGTCGTCGTCGTCGGCGTCGGCATCATCGTCGGCGTCGTCGGCGACGTCGGCATCGTCGGCATCGTCGGCATCGTCGGCATCGTCGTCGTCGTCGTCGTCGTCGTCGTCGTCGTCGTCGTCGTCGTCGGCGGCGGCGGCGGCGGCGGCGGCGGCGGCGGCGGCGGCGTCGTCGTCGTCGTCGTCGTCGTCGTCGTCGTCTTGGGCACTCCCGGGAGTGCTCTCTCAGGTGTTTGTCTCGGGGAGCTTTCTGGGGGCCCTCCTCACGGATCTAGGCGATTGCCCCCCCCAGGCTGCCGGCCCTCTCGGCCTCGGCCCTCTTCCTGGCCTCCCCCGGGGAGGGCTGGCCAGAGGCGGAGGGCCTCGCCCAGCCCGTGCCGGAAGCCAAGCCTTCGCGCCGTGCTCGCGCTGCACGGGGCGCACGGCCCCGCCGCCGTCCCTCCCGAGGAGGCGCTCCCAGGCCCGCTCTCGCGTGCAGGAGGGGCCGAGCAGATGGAAGGAGTGCGCGAGCCCAGATGGTTCATTTTTTTTTTTTTTTTTTTTTTTTGTGTGTGTGTGTGTGTGTGTGTCTGTGTTTGTCTGTGTCTGTGTCTGTGTGTGTGGGGTATGTACACTTTTCCAGAGGTCGGCCACACGTGAGCGTTATCTGTCTCCAGAGTGACCTCGAGTGTGGGCCCACGGGGGTCCCCCGATTGTTGGATGCGATCCGATGGCAGCGTCCCGCGCGCCTGGAGTTGGCTCCCCACCGCGCCCCCGGAGGCTGCGCACCAGCGGCCACTCTTGGCCAGAAAGGGCACTCCTGCGTGCAGCCGAAGATGGCACGGCCGCCCCCGCCAGCGGATGGAAACGAGCGTGTGCCCTGCCACCGTTCGGTGGCGAGCCCAGGGGGGGAAGTGAGAAGGGGCGGGCCTTCCTAGAAGGCTCGGAAGCCTTCTGGCCTGCTGAGAAGTTTTCTGAGCCTTCCCCGAAGACGCAGAAGACTTCGCTCAGAGGGCGCCCCCCTCGCTCGCCGCCGGTCCTCTTCTTCCTCTTCCCTCCGAGGAGACGTCGGAACGCAGCCGAGAGTGCTCGAACACAGCCGAGACCTTCTGAGTAGTTGTGGTGGTATTGGTGGTAGCGGTGAAGGGTTGTGAAGGGTGGTGGTAGCAGTGAAGGGTGGGCGCAGTGAAGGCCTTCTCCTTTTCGCTTCCCCCCCTCGCTCGCCGCCGAACTGCTGAGGAGGAGGAGGAGGAGGAGTAAAATGAGGAGGAGGAGGAGGAGGAGGAGGAGGAGGAGGAGGAGGAGGAGGAGGAGGAGGAGGAGGAGGAGGAGGAGGAGGAGGAGGAGGAGGAGGAGGAGGAGGAGGAGGAGGAGGAGAAGAAGGGGGGGGAGGAGGAGGAGGAGGAGGAGGAGGAGGAGGAGGAGGAGGAGGAGGAGGAGGAGGAGGAGGAGGAGGAGGAGGAGGAGGAGGAGGAGGAGGAGGAGGAGGAGGAGGAGGAGGAGGAGGAGGAGGAGGAGGAGGAGGAGGAGGAGGAGGAGGAGGAGGAGGGGGAGGGGGAGGAGGTGGAGGAGGAGGAGGAGGAGGAGAACTCCTTCTCGCTTTCCCCCCCCTTCGCTCGCCGCCGAACCTGCGGCGTGGCTCGCCTCCTGGAGCCCTTCGGCCGGAGCCCGCTGGCCGACGACGGGCGGGTGCTGCTAGGAGGGGCGCTGGACCCGCCCGAGGCCGCCTACATCTCGGCTCCGCGCGAGAGTGGCTCTTCGCTGGAGTTCACCACCCGCCGGTTTTCTGCAGAGGCCACCACAGTTTTGGAACACGGCCGTCGTTCGTGCTCTGATGGCGAGATCTCACAAGTTGAGGGTTTCGCAACAGCCAGCGCGCGAGGCTGCGCGAACGCAGGGTGAGCCTTGGAATAGATTCGGAATAGGCAAGCCATGTGTGCGACGTCACCGATGCATCGCCGATGCATCAGCGATACATCGCAAATGTATCGGCGATGCGGCGTGACCCTCCGACCCAAACTACTCGCACCCCATCTGGGAGGCCTCCTTCGTTGCGGGCCCACAGGGGTCCCGCACTGGCCTCAAGCTGCTTGCCCGCCTGGACTCGGCTTCCCGCGGCCACCGAAATGCGCGCCCCAGTGGTCACTCTTGCCCAGGGTCACTTGCGTGTAGCCGGTACATCATCTTCCAGTCGGTCAGCCGGGACGAGGTGGAGGCCTTGGTGCAGACGGACCCATTTGGCGGCGCGCCCAGGGAGGCCGGGCGATAGTGTAGCCGTGCATGGGAGCCTTCGTGTTAAGTTGTACCTTTACTTTTTGCAGAGTCCGTGCCCTTTCCGTGCCACTGCCGCGTCGCTTTCGTGCCTCCGCGCCCGTTGCGCTTTGATGGCGCCAGGTCCATGGGGGGGCGTTGAGCGTATTCGGACGGAGGCGGAAAGGACGCGGAACGGAAGTGGAACGGAAGTGGAACGCAAGCAAACGCCTCGGCGAAACGCGAAGGCTCTCAGGAAAGGCCACAGACTTTACAAGGGCGAGGACGACGTCGACGACGTCGTCGTTGCTTTGAGGAGTCTTGGACGGCTCCGTGGCCAGAGGGACGCTGACAATACACCACCACCAGTCCTGGCCAGGTCTGTCCTGGGCCCTGGACTGGTGTGCAGAGCTCCCGGCCGTGGCCATACGGGCCCGTAACGCCAGCCCAGGGCCCAGGGTGGCCATGGCCAGGGCTGGTGGTGGTGTATTGTTTCGTCAGGAGGGGAAGAAACACACAGACACAATTTGTCGGCGATTCCCAGAAAATATGGGAAAATATGGGAATTCGGGGGGGGGGAAGACAGAAACCCAGAAAATCTGGGAAGATATGGGGGATTATTTTATTTGTGGTATTTATTTGTGTGTCCTGGGGCCCCTTCGTTTAGAGCAGCCGCCCCCGGAGAGGGGTCCCGGGACCAGCCTGCGGCGGACTCGGGTCGGGGCAGGGCGGGAGCGGAGGAGCCCTCCGGCAAGGCTGGGGGCTTCTTGGAGGGCATCGGCCCCCCTTCGAGAGGCACCACCCACCAAACCACCCCAACCCAACCCGAAGGCTCGAATTTACAGTCGATTTCTAGTGGGGGGGGGGGTCGGGAAACATCGAAAAAACACACGTGGAACTCTTACCCCCCCCAACCCGAAATTCGGGTCTTCGGGTTGGGTTGGGGTGGTCTGGTAGGTAGTCAGAGAGGCAGGCCTTCAAAACGCTTTCCTTGCTGTCCCCACAAAGCGGCCGCCGAGATTGGCGCGATCCGCAGCCGGATGCGGAAGAGGTCAGAGCATGCAGCCTGTGCATGTTCGTATCTGCGTGGTGCCCTGCAGAGGGAATGCCCCTGCGGGATGCCCAGACCCCCGGCGTCATGATCTGTTATTTCGTCGACGCCCCTGGGTCTCGACCTCTTCCCCGGGACCGGTTTTTCATCCCGAATCGTTTTTTGACAGTCCCGAGGCCGGGTAAGGGTCCCCAGAGGCTGAACATGGCGAAAGACCTCCCGTCGTGATTTCTTCACTACTCGATGGGGGTCTAGGTATTCAGGTAGAGGCAGGAGTGAAGACGGTGTCATGGAGAAGGGGCCGGCGAGGCTCCTCGGGAGGCTGGAGTGCCGCTCGGAGGCGGGGTGCCCTCGCGGGAGGTCGGCCCCCTCGCCTGGTGGCCCCCTGTGGCGCGCCGCCAGCCCGTATGTCGTCAACGGCCTCGTGCCGAAGTACGAGGTCAAGGACTGGAGCGTTGTGCTGGGATCCCTGCACAGGGCGAGCAGCCCCTGATGAGCGGTGGGTCGGCGGCGAGCGAGGGGGGGAACTGAGAAGGAGTGGGCCTCCTCAAAAGGCTCGGAAGTTCCGCGGCCTTTTGCGAGAAGTTTTCGAAGCCTTCCCCGAAGACAGAAACAACTTCTCAGAATGCGCGAGGGCTTCTGAGGAGTCCGGCCGCCTTCTCAGAAGGCCTTCTCCTCCTCATTTCCCCCCCTCGCTCGCCGCCAGACAGGGCGAGCAGCCCCTGATGAGCCGTGGGAGGGCGGCCCGGGGGCGGGAGGGATGCCGCACCATCCGATGCTCCGCGCCGGCGCAGTGCTCTCGTGGCGCCCTGGTGGCGCAGGTTTGTTCCGCCTGGACGCGGCAGCGACGTCATCGCGGGCGCTCAGAGTTCGACTAGGGGATCGACTACAGAACTGATTTACCCCAGAAATCGACTCGTTCCGTTGAGTCCACGACGACTGCGCACAATGCTCCGTAGAAGGAGTCGAAGCCCCTCTGGGGGCTCGACTCGGGCCCCAGGACCCACAGAAAGAGACCCAGGGCGCCAAATCCACACGGAAGGCGGTGATTCTAGAGCCTTTGGGACCTTCAGAAGTTCGTTCCAGGTTGGCTGGCCCGCGTGGTGGCAGACAAGGCCCACGTCGGCAAGGCGAGAAGCCGTCGTAGCCTTCTGGAAGCCACCACCCTTGACCGCTACCACCAATACCGCCACAACCACTCAGAAGGTCTCGGCTGTGTTCGAGCGCTCTCGGCTGCTTTTAAAAAGAATACGGATGATAATAATAAAACTAATAACAATGAGAACAATGAAATTAATGATAATCATCACAATAATATTACGAATAATAAAATTACTACTAGGACGGATAATAGTATTAATACTCACTGATTCCGATTGGTTGCTATTCAGTGGCCCCGCCCCCCCCGCTTCCTTCTCGCGCAGAGGCAGGTGATGTGCGGACGGTGGTTTCTGGAAGGGTCCCTCCCCTAGAAGGATGCTGCCTCCGCTAGGCCGCCCCTGCATCCTCGGCAGCGTCCGTCCTCTTTTGTTCCTCTGTGTGTCCTGGCGCGCGTGCACAAGGACGCTGCCTGGCTAGGGTCCCTTGCGTTTCTGCCGGCATTCCTTGCTGATCTCCCTCCGGGGGGGCGTTCCGAAGAACTGGCATCTCCAATGCCAATCCTCGTGATGACGGCTTTGGCGTTCATGGAGTACTCCAGTGTAAGGCCAGGCAACAAGCTCCAACCAACATTCGTTCTATCAGTAGCCTCTTTGGCTCAAGCCACTTGGATCAATACAGTTGAACTCCATAGTGAGGTTACGCGGCGTCATCAAAGCTACCCTTGCATCCCTGCTTCTTCGGCCCATCCTGAGCCAATGTTGGCGTCCACGGATTTCCAAGCGGTGAGTGGGACTTTCAAGGGTCTTGCATCCCTGCCTTGCATCCTAACTATGATTTCTGCTGTACAGTGCAAGTTTCCCTTCCGCGCATCTCCCATCGCTCCTCTTGTCCAGATGCAACCAAACTGCTCTCGCCCTCGCCGCTCCCCCCGCCTTCCGCTGGTTGCTCTAACCATCGGCTCCTATCCGGCCAGCGGCATCGATAACGGCCTGGGCATCACGCCGCCTCGCGGCTGGCGAAGTTGGAACCTTTTCCACGGCGCCATCAATGACACCGTGATGCGCGCTCAGATGGCGGCCGTGTTGGACAAGTCGAGGAGCGTGGACGGGAAGCCGACCAGCCTGGCGGAGCTCGGTTTCGACTGGATTTCGATGGACGATGGTTGGCAACAGTGCAACTGCTCTTTCCCAGGCTTTCCTTCTGACCCTTCACTGCCCAAGTGCCCGAATTGCAAGGAGGGTGGCTGCTCCTGGCACAGCAGTGACGCAGAAGGGGGCAGGCCTCTCGTGGACAGTCACAAGTTCCCGGACATGAAGGGGCTGGTGGATTACGGCCATTCGTTAGGCCTGAAGGTTGGCAGCTACTTGAACAATTGTATCTGCATGGAGGGGGGCGATCCACCCATGGGCCAACATTGCAATTCGCCCACGCACTACCAGCAAGATGTAGATCCAACTGCCTGCGGCGAGCCCCGCCACTGCGCCAGCACAGCAGCGCAGCGCGAAGGATTCTGCAGTCAATACGCGTATTAGAGCTTCTCTTGAGGGCCTCTTGAGGGTCTCTCTGGCGCCTTTGAGGTCCGTTTGGAGGCCTTTGGTGGTGGACCTCCGGGAAGCCTCTTGGACTCTTGGGTCTCTCGGAGGCGGCTTGGGGATCTGGGAGCCTCTGGGAGCCTCTGGGGGCCTCTTGGGGGCTTCTGGGGGACCATCTGGGCCGTCTGTCGAGCATTGGAAGCCAGAAAGGGCCAGCATTTTAGAATCTTTCAAAACCCCAGGGACACACATTTTGTTTTTTACTCTCGAGGGCCCCTTGGGCGTCCTCTTGGAGCCCCCTTGGGCCGTCTTGGGGGCCTCTTGGGCCGTTTTCAGGCCACCTTGGGTCGTCTTGTGGCCTTCTTGGACCGTCCGGAGGCCTTCTTGCGCAGTCTTCGGACCGTCTCGGAATCCTTTCGGTCGTCTTGGAGCGAGCTTGGCTATCATGAGGCGTTTTGTTTAGTGGTTTCGGCTCTTCTGGGCTGCTGGTTTGGCTGCTTTTGCGTTTGTTGTTGTTGTTGTTGCTGCTGCTGCTGTTGTTGGTGTTGTTCTTGTTGTTGTTTTTGTTTTTGTTTTTGTTGTTGTTGTTGCTGGTGCTGCTGCTGCTGCTGCTGTTGCTGTTGTTGTTGTTGTTGTTGTTGCTGTTGTTGTTGTTGTTGCTGTTGCTGTTGTTGTTGGTGGTGGTGGTGCTGTTGTTGTTGCTGCTGCTGTTGCTATTATTATTATTATTATTATTGTTTTTGTTGTTGTTGTTGTTGTTGTTGGTGTTGGTTGTTGTTTGTTGTTTGTTGTTTGTTGTTTGTTGTTGCTGCTGCTGCTGTTGTTGTTGTTGTGGTTGAATTCTCATTTCTGAAGAATAATTACTGTTGATCCCCTCCGTCATGTGCACATTGTTTTTTCGATTGAAGTGCCCTTCCCAGGGCTCGCACCCTGTTTTGTATCAGGGAAAGTCTTGAGTGTCAAGCTGTGTCGTTGGCCCCCGGTTTACAACAACAACGGCTCCCGTCTGAGACCTCCTCACAATTTATTGGAGAGTCGCGCTCTCGCTTGCGACTTCCTTGCAATTTACCACCGGATCGCGGCTCCCGCTGCTTTTTTTCACAATTCATTAAAGAATCGCGCTCTCACTTGGGGCTTCCGCGATCCTCTCGACAGTGTTGCAGTTCTCACTATCTTTCCGCCCCTTTCTCCCAACATCCCGCTTCTGTTCAGGGTTCCACGAATTTTGTTTCTGACACCAGTTCGCAGCTTCACGTCCCCCCGTGGGGGTATCCACGATATGTTCTTTCAAGGGGGTGGTACGTTGCGGTGTTTACCGAGCGACCCATGGCGAAACTTATTGTTAACCCGTGTTGGAGTGGCTGGCGCAATCCATGGTGCAAGCTGCATCGCCACTCGCAGCGCAAATCATCGTCCTCCCTCCTCCTTGCCCCTCCCCTCCCTTCCTCTGATCGCTTCGTTCCCATTCTCCCCCGTTATCTGTTACCCTTTGTTTTCAAGGGCTACACCAACCACGCGTGGCAGGGAATGAATATACCCCCCAAGACGGGGTACGATCGAACGCGAAGAGGGCGGGTATCCAGGGTTTGGGATATGCATCTTGAATGGCACGCGAGCAGACAAGAGCGAACAGTCTCGACATGACTGTTGTTGTTGTTGTTGTTGTTGTTGTTGTTGTTGTTGTTGTTGTTGTCGTCGTAACTGTTGCTGCTGCTGCTGTTGTTATTGTTGTCGTCGTCGTCTTCGTCTTCGTTGTTGTTGTTGTTGTTGTGATTGTTGTTGTTGTTGGTGTTGTTGTTCTTTGTTCTTGTTATTGTTATTGTTCCTGTTGTTGATGATGTTGTTTCTGTTGTTGTTGGTGTTCGTGTATGTATGGTTGTGCTTGTTTGTGTGTGTGCGTGTGGGTGTTTGTTTGTGTTGACCCCCTCGACCAGCGCATCGCTTCGGTCAGAAACTCACCAACCAGTAATTGCCCAACCTCGGCCTTGGAGGGATGGGGCGATTTCCTGAGCGCGCGTACCAGGAGGGGATGAGTTTTTTTTCATAAAACTATAAGAAGCCTTCCCAGAGAACCGTAGAAATTCTTTACGCTTCGCGTATCCCCACCAGCCCATCTCACAACAACATCTCTTGCGAAGCATGGCGACAATCGTGTTTTTCAGGCTTGTGTCCGCTTGGCCCCGCATGTCTCCCCTGTTCCTCCTTCCTCCCGCCTCCTTGTACATCCTCCTTGTGGGGGGAGCGGGAAAAGGACGAGGCGGAGGAGGAGGGAGAGAAAGCGCTCCTCGTGGTTTGGGTCGTTTGGGGTTTCTCGTCCTGGTGTGAGTCGTTCGGGCCCTTCTTCCTGGTGTGAATCGTTCGGGCTCTTCGTGATGTGAGTCGTTCGGGCTCTTCGTCCTGGTGTGAGTCGTTCGGGCTTCTCGTGGTGTGAGTTGTTCGGGCCCCTCGTCGTCGTGTGAGTCGTTCGGGCCCCTCCTCCTGGTGTGACTCGTTCGGGCTCCTCGTGGTGTGAGTCGTTCGGGGCCCTCGTCGTGGTGTGAGTCGTTTTGGGAGCCTCTTGGAGGCCTTTTGGGGCGTCTTCGGGGCCTCTTGGCGGCCCCAGGGGCTTCTAGGAGCGTCTTGGGTGCCTTGGGGGAGCCTCTTCGGGCCTCTTGGGAGCCTCTTGGAGGCCGTTTGGGGCGTCTTGGGGGCCTCTTGGCGGCTCCAGGGGCTTCCAGGAGCGTCTTGGGTGCCTCGGGGGAGCCTCTTGGGGCCTCTTGGGCGCCTCTTGGGGGCATCTTGGGGGCCTCTTGGAGGCCTCTTGGGGCCTCTTGGGACTCTCTGGGAGGGGTCTGGGAGGAATCTTGGGGCCATCTGTCGGGCGATCGATCACAGATGGGGCGAGCACTTTTCTGCCTCCCCCCGTCGGGGCCAGAATCCTCGTGAGGGGTGTCGAAGTTTAGCACTCCCAGGAGTCGAAAAAGATCCCTCCAACGACCCGCGGGGCGCCCTCTCCAGGCCCAGGGGGAGGGGGTAGGGGGAGGGGTAAACCCCTCCCCGAAGGGGAAGAAGGGGGGTTGAGAACAGAGCGGGCTCTCTAAACCACTCACGCCCAAAGGGCTGGTGGGATTTCAAACACGCCGCAACGTGCACAAGGCACGTGGCATATTACATTATATCTACCGGCTTTGACGGCGTCAAAATCGACAATTGTGGCAGCTCCCACAACGTAACACATTGGGCGTATCTTTTCAATAAGAGTGGCAAGGCGATTCGCATAGAGAGTTGTCACACATTCCATCCCAACCACCACACCCCAAGCTCCTGGCCAAACTTCCCCGTGTGGGATCCGGCAACCAAAGCCGCAGATGCTCAGTGCCCCATGAATATGTACCGCACGGGTGGGGATATCGGTCCCAACTTCAATTCTGTCATCGGCGAGGCCTATGCAGTGGTGCAGTATGGCGATCGGCCAGATCCCCTGTCGCACCCAGGATGCTGGGCGTACCCCGACATGTCTGAAGTTGGAAACTTCCGTGGCGCCGACCCGTTGAGAACAGACGAGGAACGGACGCATTGGGGCCTGTGGTGCATTCTTTCTTCGCCCTTGATATTGGGTTTGGACATGAGCCGAGGCGACACGATGGACCGCGTGTGGCCCACGATCACGAATCCAGACGCCCTCGCCGTCAACGACGCGTGGGCCGGACACCCCGGCACGCTGATCAAGTCTTACGTTGCAGACGGCGACGACGTCTCGTTCACGGTGGATCAAGCTCGGGTGTTGCTAGAAGTGCCCCTGGCCCAAGGTGCCCCCAGCTTTTCGCTCAATTTTGGAGCCCCTGATAGGGGAACAAAAAGTGGCATAAACATAACTCGGAGGTCCGCGCGGATTTCTCGGATCGGCGCTGGGGCTCCCCGGCGGCGCCTCCGGCGCCGATCCGAGAAATCCGCGCGAACCTCCGAGTTTTTATGTTTATGCCACTTTTTGTTCCCCTACCTGGGGCCCTCTTGGCCTCGTGAGGGGTGCTCTGGAGGCCGTGGGGGCCTCCTGGGGCCCTTTTAGCAGCACCCGACAAGCGCCTTGCGATGGCAGTCCGCGGAGCCTGGGATGGCGGCTCGAGGACGGGAGGCTGCTTGCCCCGGGCGCTGGCCCTCTGTGCCTGGACGTTCGCGGCGGACCCGCCGGGCAGGACACCTCGCGGCAGTCGGGGGCAACGACAGGGGGGGGAGAGGCATAGGTGGGGATGCATCCGCCCCCAATCGCCCATGGATCGCCGATAGGGGCCCGATGGCTCCAAGCTGCCCAGGAGGGCGCGGAGTCACCATCGGGGGCCCATCGCCGATCCATCGGCGATGTGTCGCCGATTCCAGGTCGATGCATCCCCCCCTTGTATGCCAGCCCCCCCCCTATCGCTGCCCCTCAGGCAGAGCTCCTGCCCTCCCCCGACAACGCGCTTCGGCGGCAGCGGCTGCGGCAGCCTCCTTGCCGAGTGCTCGCGGGTGCGCGGCAGCTGGGACCTCGACGCCGCCACGGGGCTGCTGCGCTGGAGGCCGACGGGGCCAGGCCCCGTGAGGTGCCTCGCCGCCAGCCCGGCGTCGCCCGTGGGCGGCTTCTATGGCGGGCCCGTGGCTGCGAACACCGCGCTCGGCGGGTGCCGCGCTTCGGGGACCACGTCCTTCAACCTGACCGCCAGGCATCGGGGAACAAACAATCATGTACGCTTGAAAAGCGCTGGACCTCCCTCCCTGGCGCGCGCCACGTCCTTCAACCTGACCGCCAGGCATCGGGGAACAAACGATCACATATACACAAAAGCGCTGGACCTCCCTCCCTGGCGCGCGCCACGTCCTTCAACCTGTCCGCCAGGCATCGGGGAACAAACAGTGACATGCACACGAAAACACTGGACCTGGCGGCGCCGCCAGATGGCTCCGTGGAATCAGCGTGGTCCTCGGAGTTCTTGTGTCTACAGTGGGGACCCATGCCAAGAAACACCCTGCTTGCCTCCAGGGCGCCCTGGGTTTGTTGGGTTTCGATGGTCTTGTGATGGAAAACGTGACGCCCCCACACCAAAAATCTGTGGACGCCCTGGGGTCTCAGGGTTGGGTTTCTTGCGGAAGGCTTCTTGTGCTCGGGCCCCTACTGTATGTATGCGTGTCATCATGATCTGGATGTGTCGTCACGTCTCATTTAGGGGTGTTGATGGATTCGTGGTTTCTGCGCAGTCGGATTGGAAACATCCTGCAGGTTCTCTTGGCGCACTCTTGTAGCCGTTTTGGTCCGCTCTGCGGCACCTATGGGCTCGATTGGGGCCATGATTCGATTTTCCTCCTCGATCTTCGAAGGCCCTCTCAGGCTTCGTGTGGTCGGGCCCCTGCTGCCTGCTGCGTGCCATTTTTGCCCCCCCGAGGCAGGAGCTCCGCTCCGCGAGCGGCGTTTGCCTCGTCGCGAGGAGGCTCTACGGGCCCCAGCTCTGGAGCAAGCCTCTGCCCGCGGGCCGCGCGGCCGCGCTGGTCGTCAACCTCCTGGAGCAGCCGCAGGCCTTCTCGCTGCCGCTCGCCGACGTGCCGGGGCTCGCGTGCAGCGGCAGCTGCAGCGTGCGCGACGTCTGGGCGCGAAAGGATCGGGGGACGCCAACACATGCCAGGCGCTCCTCCTCCTCCTCCTCTTCTCCTCTTCTCCTGATCCTTTTTTTGTTACGTTAGCCTCTCCTGCTCCTCCTCCGCCTCCGCCTCCGTTTCCTCCTCCTCCTCCTCCTCCTCCGCCTCCGCCTCCTCCTCCTCCTCCTCCGTCTCCTCCTCCGCCTCCGTCTCCGCCTCCTCCTCCTCCTCCTCCTCCTCCTCATCTTTCTTCTCCTCCTCCTCCTCCTCCTCGTCCTCCTCCTCGTCGTCCTCTCTCTCTCTCTCTCTCTCTCTTTCTCTCTTCCTCCTCATCCCCCTCCCTTCTCCTCCCCCTAGCCAGGCTCACCCTCGGCCTCCGCCAACAGCCCTGGCCAGTCCTGGCCACCCCAGCCCCAGCAGCCGCCGTGGGCAGCCCTGGCCCAGGCGGGCCCCAGGCGTGGCTCAGCCCGACACGCTTGGGACCACCGCCCGCCCCAGCTGGGCCCTGGGCCCTGGTGCGCACGCCCTCGGGCCTGGCGCCAGGAGGCAGACCCTGGGCTGGGCATTTCCAGGGCTGGTCTCAAGTCGGGCCTGCCCCTGTACAGGAGGAATATTTCAGAAATAGTGAAACAATAGTCTGGGGACGATTTTTTGTCATTTTTTGGTGTGTGTGTGTGTGTGTGTGTGTGGGGTATTTTTTTGACAAATTTTTGTTTTTCGTCCAAAATCCGCCTGTATGGGGGTCACGCCCGACCTAAGGCTGGTCGTGGTGGTGCACAGTTCCTGCAACCCCGCGTCGCACTTTTTCCACATTCGGCGTGTCCGCGCAGTTGTTGGGCCCCGAGGCCCTCACGCATCAATCCGGCTCGGGAAATCAGGCGAAGGATGAGGTCGAGGAGTCCAGTTGGGATTTTCACCGTGGTGTTGTTTTCCCCGCGGCGTCGGGTCTCAGGGATTCGGTGCCCAGAGGGCCGCGCAGTTCGCCAGAGGTCTCCAGAGGACCCCCGAGGCATCCGGAGGCCTTCAGAGGCCCTCCCACGGCCAGAGTCGGGGAACGAACAGTGACATAAACATAACCTTAAGTCGGACGTGTCCCCCTACAGGCGGATTTTGGACGAAAAATAAGAAATAGCCAAAAAGCACCCAAAACATATCCAAAAATTGTAAAAGATCATCCCCAGACTATTTTTTGACTATTTTGGAATATTCCTCCTGTAGAGGGACAGGCCCGACATAAACATAACCTTTCGGAGGTCCGCGCGGATTTTTCGCATCGGCGCAGGGGGCCCTCTGGCGCCCCCCCCGGGCGCGCCCCCGCGCGCCCGGGAGTGGGGCCCCGCGCCAGTCCGAGGCATGCGGCGCTCAGGAGGGAAAACAACTTCGTGTCTCAGGAGGGAAAACAACACACAGACACAATTCATCGTCCACTCCCGGGAAAACATGGGAAAATATGTGAAGTGGGGGGGAAGACAGGAGCCCAGAAAATATTGGGAAATGTGGGGACCATTTTTGTTTGTGTGTATCTATTTATGTGTCCTGGGGGCCCTTCAATGTCACTGTTCGTTTCTCTTCAAGAGGTCGGGGAGAAGGGGGGCGAGGAGGAGTGGGGCGCCCCGCCGAAGGATCTGCCGCCTCGGGCGGACTTCGTTCACATGGAGCTGCGGGCGCACGAGAGCGCGTTCTTCGTCGTCGGCCCCGCCGAGGTCCCCGCTGGATATGTGGAGCCGGCCACGCTGGTCATGTAGGGCCGTTTGAGTCGGAGAATACTGGCACAAGCACCGACTTTGGACGGTCCGCGCGGATTTCTTGGATATGCGCCGGACCCCCTCTGGCGCGCGGAGCGCGCCCGAGGCGGCGCTGGAGGCGCCGCTGGGGGGTCCATCGCAGATCCAAGAAATCCGTGTGGATCGTCGAAAGTGTATGGTCGTTCCGTTGTCTCTCCCTCGATTGAGCGGCCGGGCCCCTCGATTGAGAGGCCAGGCCGACTGGATCTTCCAGGCTTTCTCTCTTGGGGTGTCTGACATGGTGGTCCCGAGCTGGAACCACGTGCTTTCACGTGCCCAGGCCACCCAGGTGGATATCCAACACAGTGGCCCCGAGCGGGAACCGCGGTCGCGGTCGTCGCCGTCTGCTGTCGTCGTCGTCGTCGCCGGCGTTTCGCCTCGATTTTGACTCGCCATTCTCATTTCGACCTGCTGCGGAACATAATCTTTTCGTAAGGTCTCGGTTGCAATCAGCTCTGGGCGAGCAATGCGCCTAGGCAGCTCGAGTTTGAGGCCCAGCTCAATTCTGTCAGGATTCGGATGCCAGGGAAGATTTGATCCACGACGCAGCAAAGCACAGAAGTGTTCAAGTTCGCCCCCTTTCGGCTCGTTCCGCTTCCGAACTGAACGGGATTTTGAGCTCGAGCTGGTGGAGCGCCCCGCGCGCTTCGACTGCGGCCAGATCTTGATTATGCGTTCAGGCAGCTCGAGCTTAAGATCCAGATCAGTTCGATCGTGGTTCTGACGCCACGGACGACCTGATCCACAATGTAATAGAGCACAGTACTTCAGCGCGGCGTTGCGCGTCTCAGTTCATCACAGCACAGCACAGCACAGCCCCTGGCACTCTACATCACCATCGCTACCTTGAGCTGCAATTGCCCGTCGGCCCAAATTGGTGTCTGGAACAAATTCCATACTTCACATTTCTATATCCCTTTCCGGGTTCGTGGGTCTATCATGCTCGCGGATGCCTCGCGCGGAGACCGTCCGTGCGACCGCGCACCCGCGGGATCGCACCCGGCAGTCCAGACCGCGCGTGCGCGGATACGTACACGGATGCCTTCGCCGTCGTTGTCGTCGCCGACGACGACGACGACGACGATGGCGGCCAGCCCAGCCAGCGCCGCCGACCCCCCGAGGGGACCCTCCGCGCCCGCGCCCGCGCCCGCGCCCCGCGGTGCCAATGGCGGCGGCCGCTGGTCGAGGGCGCACCGCCGCCGCTGGCGGCGGCCGTCGGTGAGGGCCGCCTTCGATGGCGTCGGCGCCGGCGCCGGCGGGCGCCGCCGAGGCGGCAGGCTGGGCGAAGGACCCGGCGGCGCCTCGCAGAGCTCAGAGGAGAAGGAGGAGGAGGAGGAGGAGGAGGAGGAGGAGGAGGAGGAGGAGGAGGAGGAGGAGGAGGAGGAGGAGGAGGAGGAGGAGTACGACGACGACGGCGACGACGGCGACGACGGCGACGACGGCGACGACGGCGACGACGACGACGACGACGACGACGACGACGACGGCGACGACGACGACGACGACGACGACGAGCCGAGGCGGCGCCTCGCCGAGCTCAGCTCAGTGACAGCCGGCCTTCGGGAGGAGCCCTCGTTGCCGCGGCTGTGCGCAGCTCGGCCGCCCGGTGCCTCTGGGCTGCCGAGCGCTTGAGCTGCCGGCGTCTCGCCTCGCCCAGCTCCGACGGACGGGGCCGCGGGGGCCCAGTCGCGGGCCCACATCGTCAGGAGGGGAAAAAACATACAGGCACAATGAGTCGTCGCCCCCCAGGAAACTATGGGAACATATGGGAAGTGGGGGGGAAGACGAAGGCCCCGAAAATACGGGAAACTTTGGGGAATCCTGTTGTTTGTGTCTAGTTATTTGCGAGTCCCAAATGCTAACTGATCCTGCAGACTCGGGAAAACGTAAGCTCGAGTTGGCCCGGAACCGGGTTTGCCGGCACTTTTTGATGGGCCCGTCTCGAAGGTTGACGGCCCAGATTTCGTGGGATGCTTGCGGCGGGAGCTCCGTCAAATTTCAGACTCGGTCTCGTCATTTCCCTGATGGCCCCGTGAGGCCAACCCGAGTCTTGCGTCTCCCCGGAGAGAAGCACACCGATGCCGATGCTCGTCGCGCCCCCGACGCCGAGGCCGAACTTGCCTCGAGGTGTGGACCAGAGCGCGCCCCGAGGGAGGCCCGTGGAGCAGGAGAGCGTTTTCATGGAATC